GGACGCAACTCTGCATAGTGAATCGCAGCGCCTTAGACGACTGGGCAACCCGTGCCCCCTCCTCCATCATGGAGTGACTTTTCGAACAGCTTGTTTGCATTACGACTTCATCATTGTGTCAATGTTTCCTACCTATTTTAGTGATAGGTTTAAAGTACCAAGCAAACACTTATATAGCCTAGAAAAACATCGATCTGTGATTGCCAAATATCTGCTCATAAAGTTTTTGTCTAACAACTTTGAAGTAACATAACAAGTGGTTACAGTTGTTACAGACTGGTTGTTTCCACTCAGCAATATTCCAGCTGAATGACAGGGGTAATTAAATAATCTTCTTGGTCAGACTTTCCAGTGATTAATCCAATGAGCACTGAGCATCCACCTATAGGTTTTGGAGGACTAATTATATTACTTCAACCCGGAATCTTCACAGGGGTCCTCTAGGATAAGGACTTCAGTTCACCCTCAACTCACAAGGAGCGTTAACAGTCATTTTTAAGTACCTATAAGAGACCAAAGTTTCGAAAACAGTTCAACTTTTTATATTGTTATAAATAAATCTTGGTAAGACGAGATGTGTCAAAAGTGTCCTACATTTAAGTATTGGAACCTCATCTTGCAACTGGAAACCCAAGTTGTTCTTGTTCATCCTGGTTCACAGAGAAAGGAATTCAACTAAATGTGGAAGTCTTGGAACAGTTGAAACCTTTGTTCTTTGCCCTCGATCACACTCATTATGCACGATGGACACCCATTCACATAAGAGACGTGAAAACCTTACAAGAAGCAGCCAGAGAAGAGTTTCAGAAGAAAACCCTGTGTGTAACCTCCAAAATGAAAACCACATTTTCTTCTATACCCCTGGATCAGGCTCATTAACAGGAGAACAAGCAGGTGAAGGGTTCAGGCGGTGCATCTGGATTAACAGAAGACCCCATCGTTTTCAGATGCCGGATGCTGTCAGGGACCGAGCTAGGTAGATTAGTCAAACAACTTGAAAATGAGTATTTCCTTGATGCTGATCTAGATCTTCCCAGCAACTTCCATAACCATGGGCAAGCCGGTCCAGAATAATTTAGATACTATAAGACAAATGGGAAATATTTTCTTAGATGATTTTGGCGACCTTAATTGTTACTCGTGATAGCTGTAACTGCACGCGAGAATCAGTTGCAACCACAGTAAAGGTGGAGGAGTGTTGGAAAGAAGCAGTATAGTAGATTTTGCAAAAGGGTGATTGACGATGAGACGCAGTCTATTCATGAACCTCAGAAGAGACATTCCCTGCCACTTTCCAGCTTACCATCCAGTCAACTTCCAAACAAGAACTGTGAGTATGACTTAAAGGAATTCTTTGCTCATGAGACCCAGGTATTCCCACTTTCTCACTCAGAGTTTTGCAATTTTGGGTTACCCAGTGCAAAGTCTGGCCGTTTTCGATGCTCAGATCCACCCGGTTCTTATGACTGCAAAGCTCTCGGTGGAGCAGTTGTTGTACATTCCTTGCCTAATACAGTAATTCGCACCTTTGATGGTCATCTACAGCATGCTACTGGACATTGTGTGGGATTACTACTTTCAGGGCAGTCTAAAATAATCATTTCGTGAAAAGAGGAACAGGTGTGCATCGAAAGGTATCCCAGCAGGCAAAGATGCCAGTCAAGTGGATGGATGTCCTGGCGCTTCTCATTCTGTGAAGACCACAGTGGATACATATGTTTTGTTCATCCTTACTGTAACATTGATGACCTGATTGCACTACAATCCTAAACAGATAAATGGATTGCCTTTGGAATAGGAAAGGCATTTGACTACTTACACATCAACAAAATGTGTACATTTGGGAGAGCTGCATGCTTGCTCTTTACCAGTGTTTCGTGCCTTTTCTGGGTGTGACACAACATAAGCCTTTGTTGGGAAACGTAAACAGTTAGCCTGGCAAGCTTGGCAGGCTCTAGATAAAGTCTGTGCAACTAGCCAAGCATTCATTTCAAGTGTTGAACATAGATTCTGGACACTCCCAAGTTCTTGAGAGTTTAACTGTTGCCATGTTTGAGAAAAAATGTTCTCTGCAATCAATCAATGAGCTGAGATTGGATCACTACTGCCACAAAATTCGACCAATAGACAAGCTTCTTCAAACTCAAGAAGCCTTGCTACACAATACAATTTCCATGCCCTGAAGGTTTTGGGTGGACCAAAGTTAAGAAATCATGGAATCCTGTTTGAATGGATGGAACTCACCAAATGTACATGCAATCGAAATTACTTGTAAATGTACTGAGGCTTTTGCATTTGGACCGCACACTTTGCAGAGGCACATGTTCTGAACTGTAGTCATAACCTTGAGCTACCTTAACATCAATCTGACTGACTGAATGACATCGTCTGCCTCCATTAGTTTTAGAACATAATATATATTTTGTCTCGTTTGACATTTTCTTTTTCCTCCTTCCATGAATGTTACCGACAATGACATTATCAGTCAGAGTATGACAAGACCTTTCATTTGATATACAACATGTCTCAGTTGTGAGTAAGATTAAATTTTCATTAAGTGAATTTGGTGGCCATTTTAGATTTTAGTGGCTTCCGGAAGTTAAATTAGCAAATATATTTCAAGGTGGCTCCTATCCCAAACTATTCAGTATGGGTGGCTGTTTCAGTAAGCCAGATTTGATGCTTTTATCCACCTTGTAGCACTGATTTGGTTTAGGCCCTTGACTATACCGATAAATTATGCAGTCTTGTGACGATTTTTTGTTGATTTTATTGAGGAAGAAATACACTATTCACACCAGTTTTCATGTTCATACCTCCATAAACGCAAATATGACGAAGTCAGTTCTTAGATGAATATTATCGGACATCTTCACATCACAATATGCTATCCCGATTTCTATTAAATGCTGGTTTTGACTTCACACTTGTTCTTCAAATAGTGTCGGTAGACGGAATAGTTATAAACATAAGTGTGGTTGTTGTATAACGCCGCACTTAATATCATGATCACGGCGACGAAATAAAATATTTTTGTCAAGTAATCCCTCACACGTTTTGGCGGACGAACGAAATTCCTTTTCCCGAAAGGTCTGCATTAAACTTAAGTAACAGAGTCGGCGGTACCGGTAAACACAATCACTCCTAATATACTTATCTTATTCCATATTTGTGGAGGCCTCTTTGCGCTACGACCTCCCAAACCAGTGTAAACCACTTACATTTTAAGGCCGTTTCACAAAGTCCTCGTAGTGTACACAGCGTTATAAAATCACGAAGGCCGCCGAGCAGTCTCAATGTAACAACGAGCTCGTTATTGAAACCAGCATGGTGCTATTTGCATCTGTATGAGGTATTTAATAAAATCAGCATTAGAAGAATGTCCACTACAGCCCTCGCCACTTGGAATAGAATCACGGAATGTCGCGATGAATTGGCAGTCAGGTGATTGCGAATGGCTATATTTACCAGCGTCTGCGGCGCACATACCTTACCAGCACGAACGGAGAGGAAACACGTGCAGATGTAGTGTTTAATGCGCTATTGACCACGTTCACAGCTAAATATAACAGCTCACAGTCACCTGACTGCCGATTCTCACCCGAATTGTAACCACTTGATCAAAACTAAACGATGATGTTTATCGCTAGCAAAATGGATATTACTTGACAAGCGCACTTTGCATTCTTTGTCAATACTGTAAGTATTATACCTTATCGGAGGAAAGGCCTGTCTCCACTTTATAAGTATTAGCACACATGCAGCTATATTCGTTAATTAGTCATCGCGATACGTCGTGATTCTATTTCAAGTGGTGAGGACTATAGGTATTTGGGATGAAGCATGTGGATGTCGACTCCTAGGTCCCACGTCATCATGGAACTGGTTAACTGGCTGGTTAACATATCGCTCGAGCGACAGAGCATTCGTGTTCCGCGCCTACAGAGTTCAAGTGTTGTGAACCCTCAGTTAAACCATTATGATGGCGATGGCTATTGCTATTGCTGAATCTGAGCCCAGGATTCACTGTTCATATTCTGATCGTGCATTTTGTGCAAGTAAAACCGACGCACCAATAGGTCATATTGCAAACTCATATATCAACCTTAACAGGGTCTAAGTCAGAGAAATCACTCGAATATTTTATTTCCGGAAGAAGAATCAACGAGCCCCCTCCAGACTCGACAGATTCTGATGATTTCTACTTCACATACTGTGTACCAGGGGGCATTCACAGAGAGGTCGGTGTCAACACGGATGAGCAAATCAAGCATTTCCAGAGTACTGGCAGATACCACATTCGCAATATTCTGTCGTGAATATTCCAGTTATATGACATGGTCTTGTAAATAAATATCGGGAACAGACAAACCAGCCATTGATTTTATGAGCAACGCCCCGCAGAACAGACTTATTTCATCATCATCATCATCATCATCACAACCAGAAAATAGGCATGCCACCCAGAACTGTGTGTGTCAAACGGAATTCATTAATTGAAATAAACATGCAAACGTAGCTTATCGTTTTCGTTATACTTCCTTTGGTGAGGGCGATTCAAGTGTATGAACCGTAGCTTGAGTTAGTATGAGCGACTGGTTCGTCAGGCCAGTCTCACGCCAGTGTGAACAGCATTTCGGTTATATCACGGCGTGTCAGCTTAATGGAGGAACGCCTCAAGTGATGCAGGTTTTGAAATCGGACGTGTACCACATAGGTAGAACCAACGAGCACGACTGCTGACAAACCAGGAATAATAAACAGGGCGACAATGGGATTCGAACCCAGGATCATAAGTTTCTGGCACGTATGAAAGACACACATGTGAATGTGTTTTTATTGCTTACGTTCTGTATATGCGAGGCATAACATGAGCTTGAGCCTTAGCCATGTTGGTGAGAAACCAAATGATGTGAGAAACCAAATGATACAGCATTTGTATACATGGTGAAACTCAAGTAAAAATTTAAAGCTCCATTTTGAGACATCAAGATAAAATATCAAACAAAACATAATTTAATTGCAAAGTTTTATACAAATAGATGAATATATGGGATTAAAAAAAATATTGCTTTATGTCGCATAAACAATATTTCAGCTATAAAACGGCGGCCTGTAGCCCCAGTGGGTATTCCGGGTTAGAATTGGTCCCCACAAATCAATGCTTGTCGTAGGAGGCGACGTAGGGCCAGGCTCGGTGGCTTGGTCGTTTGCTTGATTGACGTTATGATATCTGTCTGATTCAGTCTCGAATATTCACAGACCGTCGTCATATAGCTGGATTATTGTTAGTGGAGTTTAACAATAAACAAACACGTTTCAATGGCTGCCCGTAAAGTACTCAAGTCTGTGCCATGTGAACCAGTGGTTCCATGCATGAGCAAACATCCACGCCGTCGGGGCACACAATTCCGCCAAGTTCGACATCATCCTCATTCTACAATGTTAACATGTGGAATACCACATCTCAACATGCTAGAAAACACTTGTTCCGCTGTCTTCACCTGTAGCTTGTACATTATCTATCCAGCTGATAATTTCAGAGGTATGACATTTGTTTTCGGTGCTCCGGAACAAATATGTTGTTGTAACACGACAGTGAATCAATATAAACAAATGTCGTCTGATTTGAGAGTTACCTCCCCTGGTATACTGAATCAACAAACGTCTCAGGTTTGAGAGTTACCTCCCCTGGTGTACTGAATCAACAAACGTCTTCTGGTTTGAGATTTACCTCCCTTTGTATACCGCAGCAAGAAAACACCTTGGGGTTTGAGCGTTACCTCCCCTGGTATACTAAATCAGCATAAACACACGCCTTCTGGTTTGAGAGTTACCTCCCCTGGTGTACTGAATCAACAAACGTCTTCTGGTTTGAGAGTTACCTCTCCTGGTGTACTGAATCAACAAACGTCTTCTGGTTTGAGATTTACCTCCCTTTGTATACCGCAGCAAGAAAACACCTTGGGGTTTGAGCGTTACCTCCCCTGGTATACTAAATCAGCATAAACACACGCCTTCTGGTTTGAGAGTTACCTCCCCTGGTGTACTGAATCAACAAACGTCTTCTGGTTTGAGAGTTACCTCTCCTGGTGTACTGAATCAACAAACGTCTTCTGGTTTGAGAGTTACCTCCCCTGGTGTACTGAATCAACAAACGTCTTCTGGTTTGAGAGTTACCTCCCCTGGTGTACTGAATCAACAAACGTCTTCTGGTTTGAGAGTTACCTCCCCTGGTGTACTGAATCAACAAACGTCTTCTGGTTTGAGATTTACCTCCCTTTGTATACCGCAGCAAGAAAACACCTTGAGGTTTGAGCGTTACCTCCCCGGGTATAAATCAGCATAAACACACGCCTTCTGGTTTGAGCGTTACCTCCCCTGGTATACTCCTGTAAATTAAAGAATACATTAGAAAGCGCAAAATTCACATCATTGTACAAGGTACATAAAAGGCCAATGGCATTTTGTTTAAATATCTTAGTGATAAATGGGTCTTGAAGAACTAACTTAAGACAAACAGTTCCTACAAGTGGAACTGACCACTGCCGGTATGACCCGTATGCAGCAAAGTCTCTCCTGGCACTCCATTAATTATCGGGCGGTCATCATCACCTGGTGTACGGAGACGCCGACCCATAGCATCACGATTGTTGGCAAACAATTCAAGTTATGGTGTTTTATCATCGCGGAGGCTGAAATCCGGACTTAAGCAGGAACAGATCACAAATCGTTTACCTACTTGACACACACAAGCGATATACATTGATGTTGAATGGCCTGTACATTCTCAAAGTGTTATAAATATACTCATGGAAACAAATAAGGGAACAATGAAAAATATAGCGACATAAGCTGTCAGAGCAATTGAAATAGCGCGCAAACAAATTCAACACATGTCAGAATCAACTAGATGTGTTTGTGTGCATTGTTACCAACGCGTATTTGGTAAATTGGCTGGGAACCCATGATAGCACATCATTTTACTGTGTCTAAACATTTAGTGTTCAACACATTTCCATCAATATAGTTAGGACGAACACTAGGTATAACTACAAGTACTCTGAAAAGTGCTTGATAACATTCATGACACATTTTCCACAAATCAAAATCCAAAAAATATTAAATTTGAAATCATAATGACTTTATTGTTATTTCTTGCCTTTAAATGTAAATACTCTTAAATCGGATTTTGTCGGACGGAAAGGTTGCAGATCTGTTAACACTTCTACAGACAAATACAGAGAATAAAACTTTTATCCAACATCGAACTTTTTAATTGCTCACTAAACATGACAGCCTCAATTGTCCAGGGATGATATCCCCATTCTGTACCCATACCCTGGAACCTTTCGCCACCATAGCGGCGTAAAACCATACTCATTCACTCCTAAGATTGGTTTGGTTTGTTTGCTGTTTAACGCCGCACTCATCAATATTCCAGCTATATAACGGCGGCCTGTAAATAATCGAGTCTGGGCCAGACAATACAATGATTGACATGAGCATCGATCCAGGCAATTGGGATGATATGATATGCATCAACCAAGTCAGCGAGCCTGACCACCCGATCCCGTTAGTTGCCTCTTACGACAAAGAAAGTCGTATTTTACGGCAAGCATTGGTTGTTGAAGATCTATTCTATCCCGGATCTTCACGGGTCTCACCCCTAAGAGAGATGGAGATGGGTTCATCACATCCTGGACAGAGCTACAGTAGCAGTCCAAGGTATTGATCATAATACGATGGAGGAATAATACACTGGATAATCAAGGATGCGGACTTGAGCGTTAACAAATGGCATTACCCGCAGTTGTACAAGGGACACGGGGTATACACCCGTATGAGGAACTCTCTCTCCATGCCGCTGGTGTACGTGGACGGAAGGACAATGTAGCGGCCTGGACTCAGCTTGTAGCGGGAGGACCACTGGAGGCTCTCGATGTACAGTCGACTGGGGTCCGCGTTTGGGATATCATCCACGTATAGTGTTCCGGACCGTTCGTCACCACTGACTACCTATAACACGTGTAAGTGATTATTGTTTAACGCCGCAGTTGCAATATTTTAGCTGTTTATAGTCGAACATGACATTAGTGATTGCAAGCATGTGCAACAGTCTATGTCATCGAGTCTATGTCATATAAAACGGCAGTACAAGCAGCCACACACACACACACACACACACACACACACACACGCACACACACGTGAATGAAAGTCGCTATATAAATGCAATAATCTTGAACATGAAACTTTTCAGGTCGAAATTTGTCGTTATTTCGATTATATTTTCGTAATTTCGATTATTTTCTCGTTATTTCAAGTAATTTTTTTTTTAAAATCGAAATTTGGTATTTTTCCTGATCACTTCCATTATTTTCTCGTTAATTCAAGTTTTAAAAAAGAAATTTCGAAAAATCGAATTTTAAAAACTCGATTTTCTAGAAAATAATTAATTTAACGAGGAAATACTTGAAAATATTGCCACCAAAGTAGCAACATTAAGTTTTTGTACAAGGGCACATTGCTGTCTGACACACAAATATATCATGGTAAAATGTTTGACGGTTGACCGTCATGTATACGGTAGAACGACTGGCAACGCGCCTACCAGACTTACACGAATATTGCACGTCAAGGGTTTACAGTGTGTTTTATACTTATTGTACTTACTCTGAACACGTCACACCGAATAGCAGCATAGTCACCATACTCCGCCTTCTGAATCAGCTGCACCACGACAGGTGTGTAGTCTTCATCTGATAGATACCAACATGACATATGGTTACCATTTCACGTGTTGCTGTTTACATTATAGTCATTGAGTTCCCAAGTTATCATTAGTGCAGTTATATCATGGCATGTCAGCTTAATGCGAAGAAAACCCTACGGGAGAAAGGTCAGAGACGCTTACAATGTTCATGAAACATGAATACTAAGCAGAAAAAAACAACCATCTTGAATCGAACCGACAAAAATGGCGGGTAGCGGCAACTACAAAGCGATACTTAAAAAAAACTGGGCCAACTGAGCACCCCTATTAGGAGTATGTTCATACATCACGTTTCCGTGAGAATTCGGGGTTATAATGCACCCCCTTCAGTCCATGCTTGTCCTACGAGGCGACTTGGTGATTCTCGAGGTCATGCTCATACTCTAATTGCGTGTCATCGTATCCTAGCGGCGTGGGGTGTTGTACATGACATCAATCACTGATTTGTCGGGTCCAAACTCGATTGGACACACACCTGTTTTCGGGACTGTGAAGGCAATCCTGGGGTTGCGGAGTTTTTGGCTCAACCAGCTACCCGGGCCAGCAGCGGATTTTCCTCGCCATTCGCTAAATACCCTCAGTACGTAATCTATATAAAGCAGAAAGTCAAGACATAACATTTAACATATGTGATTTATACAAACCAGACAGAGTGGTTGGAAAGTTGCTAAATCGACAGCGCGGGAAATAAATTATTATTGAAATTCACAATGGTAACAGTTGTGTGATTTAAGGGTTAGAACAGCGACTTGAAGAGGTAATGTTACAAATGATAAATTACACCTTTGTAATCATGCTGTACAATGCAACGATTCGATTTCTTGTTCGAATATGTAGCATTGCCAACAAAATTTCATTTACTATTAAGTTATGTAAGCAAAAGTCAATAATTAAATTTCTTAGTCTTAGTGCTTTTCGAAACATATGATGTAGGGACAGTGCCACGAGATACCACCATATACTGAAACCGTATAAAAACGCAACGTAAACATCAAACGGCTCAAGAGAAATGCCTTTATTCTTCTGTGATTGTCTGTGGCTTATTTGTATCCCATGTTGTACTATATTTTAGTGCGAATGTCACAGCATTGTCATAACAAGGTCAAATTTTAAAGTATTGAAAGAAATCCCGGAACAAAGGTCTTGAATCCCACATCAAACGTAAGAAATACCAAATCAAATTACTTTTTAACAAAATGGCTGAGTAAAAGCCAAAAGAAAGTTTAGTCAAATAAGGTCAAAATAATAATATCGCGAAAAACGGAACCTAATGGTGTACAGTTTGAAACAAACATGACAGAGTAATGGGCATAAATAGACTTTCCAATATGGCTGCCATGGTGGCCATATTGAAAATCGGATGCAAACATTTTGAAAACAATCAGGTGTTATCATTGGTGGGCACAAGCACGAGCTGATGTTTACAGTGTGAGGAAATGTATCCTGAGAGAATTTAGGAGCATGGGCCAAAGTGCAAAGGTGGAATAAAGGTCAAACTTTAAATTATAGCAAAACGATCATATGTGCTGACCCACTACTGACTACACATATACCATTTTCGTGACATTTTGAAACAAAATGGCTGAGTAACGGCCATAAAGAGCTATGTCAATATGTTGGACATACTGAACACGCGTGTTACTATTGGCGGGAACAAGCACGTGAAGTTTCAGCTTGATTGGTCCAGTGGTTTCTGAATAGATGTTCTGACGAATGATGCTTTATTATCTTTTTATTTTTCAATATGGCAGCCGTATTTGATTTCCGATCAAGATGCCTCGAACAAACTTGTAACTACATATGATGACGATTTACCAACCAAATTTCAGGCTTCTGGCCCTTTCTTTTTTGGAGACGCAAAATAGATGGTTACCCGGCGGCCATATTGAAATTTTAATTTTGATGCTTTGATAGCAACAGAAGTTGAGCTGATTTAAAGCAATTTCGGAGAAGACGTCGAACATGTGAAAAGTTGCGACGATTTCAGCTTACTGGGCCCTTCAGGCCAAATCAACTAAATGACTTTCCAATGTTTGTGTTACCTGCAATAACGACTTTCTATACAGACTGTGAATATCTCCGTAATTACATTCTAGTTATATGCTCGGAGAGGATTCTGGGATAGAATTGGCCCGTAGCCTCCTACGCTGGCCGTAAAAAGGCAGCTAAACGGATCGGATGGTCTGACTCGGCGATACGGAATCTGTGTTGAGAAGCGCCGATGGCGTGGGATAATGCGCATAATATCAATCACTGGTCTGTCTATTCCAGACTTACTGTAAATATGAAACGTGAGAATGTTACCTACTCAGTGAGTCAGATCGCCCATCTTTGTCAAAGTCGGGAGTGAGAGAGCAGATTGTGACCTGTCTGAAATATCTCAGGAAGTCGGCGACATCTATCCAGAACTCTCCCTCATTCCTGTTCCTGTGGATGTGAGACCCCTCCGCCAGGGTGGCCCACTCCCCGCTCCTGGAACACCGTGTAACCATGGAAACACATCTTGTTCAAGGTGGAATTATTCCAACGCATTTATACTCTCCATATAATTGTTAACTCAAGGCAAGATGGGTTGATAACTCCGAAAGGTGGGAAACTTTAATTTATACATGTTTACGTTTTAAAGGCCTTCGACTCCCTTGCTAGAGAAAAACCGTGGATATTTTTCTCTTAATATGAATTCTCGTCGGAATCAAAATGGAAACTATGCTTACTTCGTTGTACATGCATTTCAAAGCTGCTCGTTCGTGCTGCTAGTACAGATTTTACTGACGCTTGTGAATATTCATTCTGTTATCAGCTGAATGTCGATTTGGGTTCTATGACTTCAGTGTTCGGACTATTTCTACTATAAGGACTTATGTGTACATTATGCAGTTTGAAAGAAACAGAAAATAAGTATCACTTTTTTATTTGTCCATTACACGAATAGCTCTGTTTGCTATGTTGTAAGGATTTTTAAAAAGGTTACTACACACGCTTTATATTCGCTATTAATGGATACTTATATATGCTATATACTAAAAACACTTTGAAACAGTAACACTTCATTATACAGCTTAAAAATTAGCAATCTAGAACGCACTTCTCGCGAAAACATTTGGCGATGAGTAAGGTAATGAGATCGTGTCGTGGCATCAAAAAACACAAAACAGCATACACAATTCAATAAAACTCTGTAAGCTTATATCTGTGCTAGTGGTTTATGGCCTACAGTTCCTGGAGTAAAGAAACTAGATAGCATGGATAGTGAACGTCTTTATGACATTTGTAGACCTGGTTCGATGTCGATTTGAACACCGTTATCAAGTTCTGTATCTACACCGTAACGTCGCTGTAACTGTAAAATAGACTTCGATCCTCCACTTGTCATGAGATACAACTATAAATGTCACACACGGATAATAATTCTCGCCTAACTACTCATATTCTTTCTCTAAGCCATACTGACAGATTGATTATAGTCAGACAAGACGTTATGGAGTAGAACTCCAGTTCTTAGAGACTTCCATAAGCTGTAGTGATATGTGAGTGAGTGAGTGAGTGAGTGGGTGGGTGGGTGAGTGATTAAGTGAGTTGGTGAGTGAGTGAGTGAGTGAGTGAGTGGGTGAGTGAGTTGGTGAGTGAGTGAGTGAGTGAGTGGGTGAGTGAGTGAGTGAGGAACATAATTTATGGTTAGAGTGAGTCCAGTATTCCAGTTATATCACGGTCTGTCAGCCTGATGAGGGAGGAAAGCCCTAAATCAGTCTCAGACGTTTACCAATCAGTGACAACACACGATCCTGGCATGCCTAAGGGACATAACTCTGCACAGTGAATTTCGGGGTCATCAGTGCCTGCCAACATGAGTCACAGGCGTCAGGATTCGTTGCGCAGAGTCGCGTCCCTTAACCGTGTCAGGAACCTTTGATCCCAGAATTACCCTGTGTATGTTTCTAGGGTTACCAGCACCATACCCGTGCTCTTGTGTTTCACCAAAGTGGTAAAAATCTAAGACCTGCATCACTTCGGGCCTTCCTCATACATCAAGCAGACACATCGTGATATAACTGTAATATTGTTGAGCGGCGTAAGAACAAACGGACCCCATATTCCCCTGTTATATGATCAAACTAGACATACTGCCGTCTTTTGATGGATGCAACAAAACAACACGTATTAGAACAAACCCGTTCAACATTCACGGGACTTCATTGATGTCATGACAACATCAGCTGAACTACATGACCTACCCGTCACACCACCTCCCTGTCCACTCGTGGCTGCCGTGGGGGTTACGTATACTCAGGAGGGGCACCTTCTCGCCATCACGCCTCGTCACCTTCATCAAGGGAACAGACATCACGACCACGCAACAACACGATCAAGAACTTATCAAAGAAATAAAGCATTACATTACTGACACAAGTCCCTTGAGGGGATTCTTGATCAGAACGGGTCAACGGAACCCACGCTTGTCGCAATAAACGAAAACTTGACGCTTCTTGTGGATACAATGCGTGAATTTAATAAATGTGAGTTAATTCCCCTTGACGATCATTGATTGCATCATCATTGTCTTGCTGTTCTGTTTCTTACCCCTCATCGATTGCTTAAAAGACCGCCAAGATGGCTCTGCAATATTGCCGACAGCGGCGTAACGCAATATTCATTCACACCATGAATGAGACTCTTGAAATCTTACCATGTACGTTCCGCTGAGCGAATAGGCGTGTGGTCCCATCAAACCCATTATACCGTGATGCCGTTGCTGAAAACAACAATTTTACTTGGTATTCTACAAACTAGCAAGCGACACGTACTAATACTTCTCACGCATATCCAGACACCTGGTGGCAATATTGCAGCTGTATCGGCAATGAGCGACGTTATCTGTAGTTGTCCATTCAACCTGTTACATTGCCGAATATGACTATGTATACATACGTCTACGTGGCTGGAAATGTACGAGTTAGTTACTACAGTTAGTTACTACAGCTAGTACCACAGCCAGTAACAAAAAATAGTTACTACAGCTAGTCGCTACAGCTAGTCAAATCAGTTAGTTACTACAGCAAGTCACTACAGCCAGTCACTACAGTTAGTTACTACAGCTAGTCACTACAGTTAGTTAATGCAGATACTTACTACAGTTAGGTACTACAGCTAGTCAATACAACTAGTTACTACAGCTAGTCACTACAGTTAGTTACTACAGCTACTTACTACAGTTAGGTACAAACAGGTAGTGACTAAAGTTAGTTTCTACAGCTAGTTACTACAGTTCGCTACTAGAGCTAGTTACTACAGTTAGTTACTACAGCTAGTCACTACAGTTATTTACTATAGCTAGTAACACAGCTAGTCAGTACAAGTAGTCACTACAGTAAGTTACAACAGCTAGTTACTTCAGTCAGTTTCTACAGTTCGCTACTACAGCTAGTTACTACAGTTAGGTACTACAGCTAGGTACTACAGCTGGTTGCTACAGTTATATAACTCGTCTTATACGCTCTTCAGCTCCCCAACTCACTCCTCACCGAAACACTACATGTGACCAGGGACCCCGTGTTGAGCGCGTTGCTGATCCGGCGGAACATGCTGTGCGCTGCAGCCCTAGACTGTGTGTTGTAGAAGTCGATCTTCTCAGCTATGCCCCCAGTGAGCATCAGATAGGCATCGCTCGAGTACCCCCCTTCCACCACGCTGTACGACCCGTGTAGCCTAAAACAGACGCACACATTAGACGCATGTCACAGATGAAGTCGATACAAGTTTAATATAATAACTGACAGAATAGGTGTAAGAATAGAAAATAAACTCAAACATTTTAACCAATGATAGTTTGGTGTTCCTTGAGGTCCCAAATAAATGAATTACTTGTATTAGATTTTCCTCTTGAAAACGTGGGGCATTATATTTTTGTTCTATTTGCATCCATTTAGATCAAATTGTTTAAGGTATCTGTATCTATATGTTCATTCACTGTCGACATGAAGCATGAATGTTGCATTGTATTGTTTGTTACCTTAGCACCCATGCAGTCAGATATATGACGGCGGTCTGTAAATAATCGAGTCTGGACCAGACAATCCAGTGGCTGATAACATGAGCACGCAATGATCCACGCAATTGGGATACGATGACATGCATCAACGAAGTCAGCGAGACTGACCGACCGATCCCGTTTGTTGTCTTTGACGACAAGCATAGTCGCCTTTTACGGCAAGCGTGGGTTGCTGAAGACCTATTCTACCCCGGATCTTCCCGGGTCTATGAATGTTGAGGAGGGTCATGTCTGTGATGTATTTCAAGTGAAGAGAGAAAAAACAGTGTGAGGCGTTGTGTTTGATTGCAATGCGAGTTTAAATAAAAATTATTAATTTAGTACAGCCTTATTGAAATTGCCATTGGAAAGGAAAGATCACACCATTTTCATTTATTCATTTTCATGGAGAGGCTTAAATGCGTAAACGACAAAAGCCACCCGTCGATAACTATAGACACATAACATTTACATGTGTCTTCTGCTGGTCCATCTATATGAATAACTTATAAGTGATTTCATGACATTGGCTAACAAAGCAATTGTTATCGCATATATGTTCCAATAAAACGAGGGGGCTTCGGTGGCCCAGTCGTCTAAGGCGCCGCGATTCGCTGTGCAGAGTTGCGTCCCTTGGGCACGCCAGAAACCTATGATTGTGGATTCGATTCCCGGTTAGCCCCAATTATGTTTCTAGGTTTGTCAGCACCATACCCGTGATCGTGTGTTTCACCGAAGTGGTAAACGTCTGAGACCTGACATCACTTCGGGTTTTCCTCCCACATTAAGCTACCACGCCGCGATAAAACTGGAATACTGTTAAAATCGGCGTTAAACCCAACTCACTCACTCACAATAAACCTCTGGGGATCTACTGTTGCTTAATTGACTGATAACAGGCTGGCGGGACTTCAGTCAATGATTTCGTATTGTTGCCTACAGTAGTTTATGTTCATGGTATCAAGCAGTCGACGCAGCTGTTATTGGTGACTCATGTATTCATAAGAAGTGACTTCAATATGTTTTTGCATTTATTGAGATACAAACGTAAAAATCTATGTGCATGTTTTAAAGTCAACCCTTGATGAACAGCGTACCTTGCTAGAGCCTTTTCCATGAGAGGGACCCACATTTCGTTCCTTGCTGTCGCGGACGCAGCTCCGTATAGGTTCCTGCCGTCGGGAAATACGGGGAGATAGTCGTCTATGTAGACATCCTCCCACTCCCCAAATCTCCACAGTCGGCAGTGGCAGATCCCGTCTGTTTTGGGGGTGTACGATCCCTCGTTGATCACCTGAAAACAACGCGTAGCTTCATGTTATAGCAGGCCATGTTGCTCATTCCGGATGCTGGGAGGTGATGAAGCGTACGATGTATCACTGCGGCCTATACATAACTTCGTCTGAAGCAGACAAGCCAGTGATTAAAAGCACGAGAAACTATCCACCATAATACCAGGGGACCAATACAAGTAAGCAGACAAAGACATTCACATGTGATCCGTTTCCGTCGACATACATATTTTACTTGGGTAATCATTTGTACCCCGGAATCACCAAAGACCGACCTACCTCGAGTCTCACAGATCCTGTGTGTGCGCAATCATTGTGTTACTAGGGGTCTTCAGCAACCCATGCTTGCCGTAAAAGGCGACTATGCTAACGGGATCGGGTGGTCAGACTCTCTGACTTGGTTGAGACATGTCATCGTATCCCAACCTCGTGGATCGTTGCTCATGATGTCCATCACTTGATTGTCTGGTCCAGACTCGATTATTTACAGACAGTCGTCATATAGCTGGAATATTGCTGAGTGCGGCGTTAAACAAAACAAATATGTGTTACTAGGTAACTACAGTAAACTACGGATTTAACGAACTCAAAGGGATAACTGATTTTAATTCGTTATAACCATAGTTCGTTATAAGCATATTTACAGCAAATGGACGGGACCCAAAACATTTCGTTAAATCCGTCAGTTCGTCATAAGGGTGTTCGTTATAAACGTCATTTACTGTACGTTTCACAGTACCCCTGTCACTGTTAATGTAAGTGGCATTTGCTGTCCAATGATATGCACGCGTGTAATCTGACCTTTGAATAGCCTAGTGGTTAAAACTTGGGCTGGTCAAACTGAATGACCGAGTTTGCGTCCCATATGTGAACCGTTTACTTTGTGCCCCCTGTCTTTTGTTTTTGTGATGGCGTACACTAACTCACGCACTCAAACAGTTCATGTTAAAATAAGTGAGTAGATCAGATAATGACAAGACCCGGATATCATGAGAATGTTGCACGAACATGTTTAGATCTATCTATCCATGTATCCATCCATCCACCTACCTATAGAGCTTATTTGTGATTTGGGATGGTAAATACGCTATAACATTGTGTTGAGCGGGTCCTGGCGAGACAAATACAAAGTGTTTATTCCAAATACAAGACATTTACCATTCCCAAGCACATCGGCGTGATACGTCCTTTAGCATTATGACGTCATTCTTAACTTCTGTCGTCGAAAAACCTGTTTTTATCTCACAAACGGTACCTAAACATTGCAGCTTTTCCTGGAATGTCAGCATGAATGTGTATTACATCAGAAAGTCAGTGATTTGTCAGTCGGACATCAGCCAATATAGTTCCAACTGAAACTTACTTCCTTAGACAGTGGCGTAACTACATATAAGCAACTATAAGCATATAACAACTGCCTACACAAATTGTTTCTATTTGCCTTTCGCAGCAATCCATCGGTCTGCCTGTAAGAGTAGCTGTCCTTTATCAAAGGGAAGTTACTCTATGAGAGGTCACGTGTTTTAGCCTGTGTGGCTTTGTATCAGAGCTGGTCATGACGTTACGAAGTGCAGAGTCGTGTGTACGCACAGCGACAAAATGAAACAAGTTAACAATTCAGACATATTTCGGAAAATCAAACTGTTTTAAATTGGGAAAAGGACACAATCAGGGGATCACACTAGGCTGGTGTCCTCGCTAAATTGTTTCGCAATTAACATCTCCAAAGTTGCCCCAAATTGTAAAATGTCTCAGCTACGTCCCAGTTACACACTGATTTTCAGTATCTTAGACTATTGCTTGCTAATGATAACAATTATTCCAGTGTTTTTTTTCTATAATACCGATCGTTAATTCTGACTTGATCGCCGAGTGACAAGGGCGACGCTAGACCCATGTTAGTTTGAAAACACCTAACTGGCCTAAAGATTTTATCTGTCTATGACCGTTACCGTTTTTCTCCGTTGGCTTTATTCTGTCGAGAATCCTCCTTATATTTGATAAATCTATCTATCTATTGGTTCTTTACAGACCTGTTTACACAGATCCGGCTTGTCTGCAAGTGTTGACAGCATGGACAGGAACCAGCATGTTCCAAAGTTCCTTTGCTGAATGTCCAGTCTGAAGGTTCCATTGGCGAACAGGACAGGGTCAGAGACGAATTCCTGTAATTGTAATATCGTTTGCTGAATAATTCAAACCACTGAAGAATTATTTGCAATGTTGAAATGTAAACCAATAAGAACGATATAAATGTATATATACTATATCAAGGGGCTGTAATAATGACCAGTCCCTTAAACATAATTCAAATTTGCAAATTTTGTATTTGAACAAAAAGAGCTGCCAGTTTTCCATGCCCTCGCCACCCCCACCTCTTTAGTTGTGATAAATCTTTATGCCAACACCAACACCCTACACACCACAACACACCCATATCCCCCAAACACACCCTCTTTTTCAAAATGCCTACCGTAAGTGATTGATAAAGATTCCTTTCCTCCAAATTCAAGCCGTCGCGGCCTCGCGACCGTCAAAGTAGCTGTTTCGATCAGAGGCCGTTATCGTGATTTGAAACTCCAGATTGCCCAATCTGAATCGGGGATGTCACAAAACCCTGGTTAAATGCCACTCACGTGAGGCCTCATCCAGAGGAGATGTTTGCTGGCATTATCTGTAACTGCAACCGGGAGAGTAAACTCAGTGTCCGTCCACATCTCTCCCTGGCGGACATGGGGGCGCTCTGGTCTGTGTACATCACGCCTGGCAGATGCCCGAGCGTCCACTGTGCAGAGCTTCAAGCCGGAACCATCTGGAGCGTCCGTGTAGTCCACATTCGACAGGTCGTAGTCGTCAGCTTTGTAAACATTACGTTTAGACAAACAGCAGCCCATTGTTCAAAAACGTTGCACCTGGTGAAAAATGTCTCAGTATAGTTCAATACATACCCGCATGCAAATACAAGTATTACAAGTAGATCCTCTTCCTCTGATATTCCCTTCATGTACCTCCTAACTCTAAAATCACATGGATGAACGAAAGATGAAGATACGTGGCGTATGCAACTTACATTACCACAAGGTATTATAAAATATATACCCGTTTTTACACCTCATATTTTCATGAAATATTACCAACGTATTTACCTGATCGTTCGATATATGTGACATATAATCTGTGCTGACATCCTACTTTAACAGCGTTTTTCGTGACTCACACACAACAGCTTTTCAAGTGACTCACGTTATCTCCTATGCTCTATTGCACTAGCTGCCTGCACAGCATGTCCTAGCCTCTGCCCATTCGTTGCGGCCAGCGCCTCCAGTGTCCTCTGTGCAGGTGGGGCGTATAGAGACCATACAACGCGAGTATAAAGTACCGATACCCACGAACAGAGTGAGTAACGTAACAATAGTTTAAACTTGGCCACGGTTGCCCAGTTGTCTAAATATCCATTGGGCGTGAAAAGCACCATTGCGGTAAACGTTATATGCATGGACACAAAACATCAGTCATGATACCAGGTGTTTGCTAAAAGAGTAAGCATGCCCTGTCTGACCTTCGGCGCCCTCAACTCATACAAATTCCAAAGAAAAGTAAGTGTGTGTTTGTTGTCTGACGCCGCAATTCGCAAGCACCGCAATTCTCTGAGTAGAGTTGCCCTCCTCAGGTATGCAAGGATCCTATGATAGTGGGTTCGAATTACAGGTTCTCCGTGGTGATGTTTGGTTTGTCATCACCATACCTGTGCTTGGTTGTCATCAAATTGGTAAACGGCTAAGAACTGCATCACTTCAGGTTTTCCCTCATCTTCTTACCGTCAGTGCAAGAGAATAAGTCTCCAGTATGTGCCCATGTAGATTTCAATGAGCGTTTGTATAAGGCAATTGATAGGCAGTTATAGGCTGAATCACATGTGGTGATATGATTGAAAACTGTTAAAAGCGCCGATAACCTAAACTCACTCATTCACTCTGTCAACACAAATTCTGCAATGAAATTTAATATCAGGGGATATATATCCGGGCAGTCTTATCCATCTCAGGTCTAGACATTTAGAACATCAAAACATGAAATGTTTATACGTAACAACGTGTTTATTGTCTGTAGTGATGTTTCAGGGCTACGTCAGGTCCTTTCGTCAGGTCAGTGACATGACCACCTGCGCATTGTTTCCGTCACATCTACAACTACACACCACACCGACCTGGATACTGGACTCCGGGGGTAAAGTGAAACTCGCGGTCTCCTGGGTAACGCTGCCACTCGGAGTGTATCTGTACATCTGACTGAGCTTTTATATGGTAATGTGTCAGCGTTTAGCCGATCATTGTGTCTAGTGTTGCTCATATAAAACACAGTCCACGGTCGTAAAGGCGATATAAACAACCACAGACAAACCATATGAGAACGCGCCTGTGTGGAATTTAGTATAGACTGACGCAGGAATTTTCAGGGAAGTCTTGACAAGTACGAATATGTAAGGGCGTGCCTTATTCAGCAAGGACTAAGACGTCCTCAGAACATACAGGATGTATTCAGCCCGGAGATCGTCTTTATTTATACAAACACTCGTCACATTTTTTAATATACTCTAAAGCACATGTTCAGTAACGGAGGACGATTGTGGGGGGACATTGAATTCCATAAACGCAGTGTTCAGCTGGTATTTCGTGTAAAGCTTTGGCTAAACATGAGCGAGGTATCTTTTCTTTTCGATTTCACGTGTGTACATTGTACAAATGTGTTTAGAATATAAACACAGACAAGACATGTTTAGATCTAAACATGTTTAGGAACGTGTTTAAATGATAAACGGAATACATTTGGAGTGTTCAATCTGAACGCATTTAGGTCTAAACACATGAAATGAGCTATCGTCTCACAGCCTAAACACCACCCAAACACAAAATCCCCATAACCTAAACATGTTTAGGTTTTAAACATGTTGGAACATTTTTAGAATTTAAACACGTGTAAACATGTTTCGAATTTAAACATGTTTCAATAAAATGCATATCATTTGGCAATAAGTCAAATATGTATAAGATGAATAAAATATATAGAAATAAGATATGCAAAACAGATTCACAGGCACTTGCACGAAGACATGTTCACACTCACATCACATACAACCACACACGTAAACATAATAATAAAAATATAAATAATAATAATGATAATACGCTTTGGCTTATAAGACAGAGGCGGTAGGGTAGCCTGGTGGTTAAGGCGTTGCCTCATCACGCCGAAGACTCGGGTTCGATTCCCCACATGGGTACAATGTGTCAAGCCCATTGTCCGGTATCCCCTGCCGTGATATTGCTGGAATATTGCTGAAAGCGGCTTCCAACGACACTCACACTCCCTCAATGACACGACGACAGATAACCCGACAAAATGACTGATTCCCGTGCCCTTACCTGAAGTTAATGAACTGGTCCCTACAACCATCCGCGCGACCTCCCCACTACATAAACAAAACATACGTTCACATTCGTATGACGACCTCCCGGTAATAATTAACGGAGGCTGGGACCTTGCTTTACAAAAGCTACCCGTGTCAAACCACACAGATTTTATTTTCTGATTAACACACGCCACAAACTGACATCGTCCAAGATGCTTTATACAAATATGACGTCACTGAGCGCCTGGTTGCACGCACGTACACCTGTATGCACACCCTAAGTCTGCACGTCGACTGTGCGAGTGACATTAGCAGTAGCGATCGGACACGGTCTGTCAGTCAGGGGAGCATGAGATCAGTAACAGTCTTCCTTCAGTCTAAAGGGTATAATTACGAAGTAAATGAAATGTACCTTCAGTACTGCTATGGTCGAGCAATCCCACGCCTTTGAAAATCTCACGATGATTGAACACACGCGACCTTGAGCAGCCAACGGTAGGGTATCTTTGTATGAACAGGAAAGTAATCAATGGCCGACCATTGAATGCAGAGCGTCGTGATGTCAGTGGTATTTAAATAGTATAGTTACATATTCTGCTGATAACAGAGACCTGAGTTGGAAACGTATCGAATAGTGCAACAAATACACTTTTGAAATATACAATACAGTCAGAATAACTTAATGTGCAGATCCGCTGATAGCTTTGTAACAGGTTACAATCACACCATATATGTTCTACAATACAAATGTCGATATGACATATATGCAATGTCATCGATTGATATTCTGTAATTACGACTAATGTTGCTATAGGACAGTGTACATACATGAATCAAGGTGTGGTGTATACTGTAGGCTCCGTGTACACGACTACAGGACTGGAAGTCGCAGTGGAGAACGTATTTACACAGACGCCCAGTCTACCTGTACACCATCAAACAGTTTTACGAGTGTTGTAAAGGTAAAGTGGGCGTTGTTGGCTGCCATTGAATGTGGGTCATTTGTGTTTGAGTCCTTCTTCCACGCCTAAACAGGCCATGCAGAGAACGAACAGAGTACACATTGTGATGGCAGAAATCTGAAGAATCTTCTACCGATTTTATAGATTGGAGGAGTTTTTATATTCCTTTCCTCTGTATGCGTGTATTGCGTTTTGTCACAAACGCCACTGGAAGTGTGTGTGAAGGCCTGTGGAAGTGTGGGCGGTAGTGCGTGTCATGAAGTCCCACACAGTTTTAGGTCCGATGAGGCAACAAGACGGTGTTATTTAGCGACGGTTATAAGTCTGAACTTTTTGAAAGTGCAATTTAACAAATAATACGCAAATATAAATCATCATGTATAATCGTATTAACTGTGAGATGGTAAAGAAGTACTTAAAGAGTCTTACCTCTATGTAAGTAATGAGATATTAGCAGCCATTGTAGATGTAATTACATGTCAAAAACCGGACCTGATCATGAAGTTCTTTATATGAGCACGTATTAGTCCCTAATATTGAGATTTTGTTTAATGTTTTGTTTGATAGTTCCTATTTGCCTGACTCTTGGTGCATTGTTTGATTGTACCGACACACAAGAAAGGCGATGTGAACTTACATAATAACTACAGACGAATACTAGTGTCTTTAACAGGTGAGCTAAGTGAGTATGATTTTACGCCGCTTTTAGCAATATTCCAGTAATATCACGGCGGGAGAGAACAGAAATTAGCTTTTCACATTTTACCCATGTGGGGAATCGAACCCGGGATTTCGACATGACCAGCGAACACTTTATCAACTGAGCTACCCCGCCGCACTATATGACAAATATTTTCAGTAAACTCTATATCCAAATTTTTAACAAGAGATTGACGTTTTGTTGTGAAATGATCTCAAGCGGGATTCCGTAAAAGGTAGAGCACTAATGACAATGTCGATTTATTCTGCAATCCATTTTGTAACGCCCTCTCAAAAAGCGAGGGAAAATATACGTATGTTTTGTAAATTTAATTTTTTTGATGTTGTTACAGGACAAAATTAAGGACCATTCTAAGAGTGAGTGAGTGAGTGAGTTGGGTTTAGCGCCGCTTTTAACAGTATTCCAGTTATATCACGGCGCGTGTGTCAGCTTAATGTGGGAGGAAAGCCCGAAGTGATTCAGGTTTACAACCGGGATTCGAACCCACAATCATAGGTTTCTGGCGTGCCCAAGGGACGCAACTCTGCACAGCGAATCGCGGCACCTTAGACGACTGGGGCACCCGCACAACGACGTCTTGATTTAACTGTCAGTTTAAACAAAACAAATGTAGGTATTCAACAATGGTGGTATGTTGTCGAAATACGAAAACCAGGACATACAATGACTTACATAAGAATGAGTTAAGTCATTTAAGTATTTAAGTGTTATGTTTTCAAGATATTTGGTATGTAATAAACGTGTAGCTAATGATTGTTCGCATGCCAGTCAAGTTCTTTACAGTTTAAAAAACATCTTTGGATAAACTTAAACCCACACCATATAAAATATTCTTTAATATTTCGATTACAAATGTGTTCAGTATTGTTACATGGTGCAGACATGTAATGACTGGATATCGTCAATGAAATAAAGGCACATATGTCAGGATGTGAACGATTTCTTGGGGTTAAGTCTTACGTAGCATCTAGCATTGTAGGAGGCAAATGTGCACGATGCCCACTGTGCAAAAATACTTTAAACTGTCCATGAAATATTGATGCTGACAGTGTACATGCTGGACCGCTGGTATGTTAAAAAGAGATTATATAATAATGATGCTTTTGATGTATGATGTAAATGACAAAAGAAATTGGACATCTAAAGTAACAAATATTTTATCACTGTATGTATTTGTATTGGGAAGACAAGAACAGTTTGGGAGAAACGTAGATATGTTCTTATAATACTTTGTAGATTGAAATTATATGAGCAGGATGGGTATGCGTTTTTACTCAAATTGCATATTTTGTGTTTGAACCCTACATCAACATAATTAGAAAATATGAAAACAGACGGGTTCTTGACCGATTAAATTTGTCACTCAGGATAGAAACCGGCAGACATATTGGGGAACATAGGAATGACAGGTGTATTTTATGTAAGAAAAAAAGGAAATCTTATTTTACCTATTTGTGATACAGTCAAACACCGTTGTGTCAAATTTTGATGTGTCGAACTTACGGTTGTCTCGAAGTAAACGGTTGGTCCCTGCTCACACCTTCTTTATTCGTAATTTTCCGGCTGTGTCGAACTTCGAATAACTCGAAGTTTTTGCGTAGGTCATTTCAACCGTGTTTGAATGTATCTATTATTCATTTAGATGTTAGTGTAGTTCAGACACTTTATGCGTATTCCCCAAAAGATACAATTTTCCTCATGTCATTTTAAGCTGAAATCGTAATCAAGCAATTATCACTGTATTCATATCAAGCAATATTATTAAGGCACTTATAATATTTCCTCACACAATTGATATATTACGTGATGAATACATTTGAACAGCTACTATATATATACTAAATCTATTTAAAAGGAATATTACAAAATATGTATTATTCTAATAACATGGATAGAATAAAAGTTACACGCTACAGTCCTTATTTCCTTTAAACAGTTAAAATAACGAACTGTTACCGGTAAGAATGTCGGCTCCTTCGAAACTGGTACCGGTTTGCAATCAGGAATCCTTATTCAAAGTTCGTTTTCGATTACATAAAGTATTCATATCAGGAGGATAGTGAATATGGAAGACAGGCAACTATATTGAACTATTTTACGAGTTGGCAGTCGGAGATGTAACAGTGCTAGTAAATCATACAGCACACTTTTCTGACGGATCGATCTGTAGCCCCTGCGGAGTGACACGCAGGACAGCATGATTAACGACGAACGGATGGGGACAAACACACATTAACATATTACACATATTTTTTCACAAGTTCGTGAAATTGGAAATATGTCCTGCCATATGCTGTGTGATCCTGGCAGTGTAGCTGCAGACAGCAGTCACAGGTGTCTTGTGACACTTTCCAACCAGGGCAGAATCCCGGAGATGATGCTGATGTTGGAGATGACGATGATGTTGGTGATGATGCTGATGCTGATGCTGGTGATGCTGGTGTCGATGTGTAGATTTATTCCCATTGATGACTTGGTATGAGATTTATCTCACTTGGTATGCTCCTGTAAATTAAGAAATTAATAACCATGACAACTGTTTTTTATAAGGCAATTTAAGGTCATTTTAAATACAATTTCTAGAAACAATAATATGCTTCAAAGCATTCATTTATGAAAGGAAGACCAATTTTCTTTCGCAACACAAGATATCTTCACTGTCGAGGGAACAATATTTGGGTGAATAAAACTTGCAAATATATTTTCAGTATTGTCTGGAACAAAACTATTTTTAAACAAACACGAATCTTTTTGTGACAGCATTACCTGCATCTATACAATGGGCCAGGTGAAAACACTCGTATGAGAAATTCCCTGTGAACACCGCGAAGGAAGGTGGAGGGGAGCACCAAGTAGCGGCCCGGAGGGAGCATGTAGCGGAATGTAGCCTGCAGGTTGGGGAAGTAGCTGTTCCTGTACTCTGTGTCTTCCATCTGGTACACGTAGTAGGTGGAGGACCCTTCATTAGCGTAGGTCATCTGTAACAACAGAATACACGTAGTAGGTGGAGGACCCTTCATTAGCATAGGCCATCTGTAACAACAGAATACACGTAGTAGGTGGAGGACCCTTCATTAGCATAGGTCATCTGTAACAACAGAAAACACGTAGTAGGTGGAGGACTCTTCATTAGCACAGGCCATCTGTAACAACAGAATACACGTAGTAGGTGGTGGACCCTTCATTAGCATAGGTCATCTGTAACAACAGAATACACGTAGTAGGTGGAGGACCCTTCATTAGCATAGGTCATCTGTAACAACAGAATACACGTAGTAGGTGGTGGACCCTTCATTAGCATAGGTCATCTGTAACAACAGAATACACGTAGTAGGTGGAGGACCCTTCATTAGCATAGGTCATCTGTAACAACAGAATACACGTAGTAGGTGGAGGACCCTTCATTAGCATAGGCCATCTGTAACAACAGAATACATGTAATAGGTGGTGGACCCTTCATTAGCATAGGTCATCTGTAACAACAGAATACACGTAGTAGGTGGAGGACCCTTCATTAGCATAGGTCATCTGTAACAACAGAAAACATGTAGTAGATGGAGGACCCTTCATTAGCATAGGCCATCTGTAACAACAGAATACATGTAATAGGTGGAGGACCCTTCATCAGCATAGGTCATCTGTAACAACAGAATACATGTAGTAGATGGAGGACCCTTCATTAGCATAGGTCATCTGTAACAACAGAATACACGTAGTAGGTGGAGGACCCTTCATTAGCATAGGTCATCTGTAACAACAGAATACACGTAGTAGGTGGAGGACCCTTCATTAGCATAGGTCATCTGTAACAACAGAATACACGTAGTAGGTGGAGGACCCTTCATTAGCATAGGCCATCTGTAACAACAGAATACATGTAGTAGGTGGAGGACCCTTCATTAGCATTGGCCATCTGTAACAACAGAATACACGTAGTAGGTGGAGGACCCTTCATTAGCATAGGCCATCTGTAACAACAGAATACACGTAGTAGGTGGAGGACCCTTCATTAGCATAGGTCATCTGTAACAACAGAATACACGTAGTAGGTGGAGGACCCTTCATTAGCATAGGTCATCTGTAACAACAGAATACATGTAGTAGGTGGAGGACCCTTCATTAGCATAGGCCATCTGTAACAACAGAATACACGTAGTAGGTGGAGGACCCTTCATTAGCATAGGCCATCTGTAACAACAGAATACACGTAGTAGGTGGAGGACCCTTCATTAGTATAGGTCATCTGTAACAACAGAATACATGTAGTAGGTGGAGACCCTTCATTAGCATAGGCCATCTGTAACAACAGAATACATGTAGTAGACGGAGACCCTTCATTAGCATAGGTCATCTGTAACAACAGAATACATGTAGTAGACGGAGACCCTTCATTAGCATAGGCCATCTGTAACAACAGAATACATGTAGTAGACGGAGACCCTTCATTAGCATAGGTCATATGTAACAACATAATACATGTAGTAGACGGAGACCCTTCATTAGCATAGGTCATCTGTAACAACAGAAAACATATAGTAGATGGAGGTCCCTTCATTAACATAGGTCATCTGTAACAACAGAATACACGTAGTAGATGGAGGTCCCTTCATTAGCATAGGTCATCTGTAACAACAGAATACATGGAGGTGGAGGACCCTTCATTAGCATAGGTCATCTGTAACAACAGAATACACGTAGTAGGTGGAGGACCCTTCATTAGCATAGGTCATCTGTAACAACAGAATACATGTAGTAGGTGGAGGACCCTTCATTAGCATAGGCCATCTGTAACAACAGAATACACGTAGTAGGTGGAGGACCCTTCATTAGCATAGGCCATCTGTAACAACAGAATACACGTAGTAGGTGGAGGACCCTTCATTAGTATAGGTCATCTGTAACAACAGAATACATGTAGTAGGTGGAGACCCTTCATTAGCATAGGCCATCTGTAACAACAGAATACATGTAGTAGACGGAGACCCTTCATTAGCATAGGTCATCTGTAACAACAGAATACATGTAGTAGACGGAGACCCTTCATTAGCATAGGCCATCTGTAACAACAGAATACATGTAGTAGACGGAGACCCTTCATTAGCATAGGTCATATGTAACAACATAATACATGTAGTAGACGGAGACCCTTCATTAGCATAGGTCATCTGTAACAACAGAAAACATATAGTAGATGGAGGTCCCTTCATTAACATAGGTCATCTGTAACAACAGAATACACGTAGTAGATGGAGGTCCCTTCATTAACATAGGTCATCTGTAACAACAGAATACATGGAGGTGGAGGACCCTTCATTAGCATAGGTCATCTGTAACAACAGAAATATTACATTAATGGGGGAATGTATTAGTTGCGTGATCCTTCACTGGCATAGGTCATCTTAAAACAGCATAAATCAACGCCAGAGAAGAAGAATCACTCTCGATTATCTGCCGACACAGATTCCAGCAGGAGTACAGGGTAATAAGGGTGAGAATCATATGAATGGATCACTGAAACTGAGTGATAACATCAGGTGTTCGCAAGAAGGGTATGCATGTCCTGAATACCTGCCCTTCTCCAGATTCATGTAATATCTACCTCACAGTTTGTACTAGATATTTTATTAGCAAAAACGAAATAAAAACGAAAAAATCATGTCATAATCACGCGAAAAGGCTGGAGCTGCTGCAATGTCATCAGCCTAAGGGGGACGTTGAGTTTTGGAAAGTTTAAGACATACCCTTTTGTCGTACAATCTTGTGTTGACTTGTTTGTCACGAACAGACATTCAGATCCATATGCATAAAGAAACATATTAGCAAAGAGAGAACACCTGTTGCTGATGGAGTTCTGGGAGGTTCAATCCCAATATTTCACATAGACTTTAATAATGAGGAAGTCCAGCTTTTCACATATTTTCTCCCACTTGTTGACACTTGCTTTCATTTTTGACAAACACGAAATATCTATCTCGCAGTGTGTACCATATATATCACCCGATACGATTTTATATATATAAAATACAAAACGAGCTCCCGTGATCTACTGATTTTATGCAACGAGAGAATAGCTCCGGTATCTCACGAGCAAAAGCGATGGGATGTTCGGAGTTTTCAATATTTGTTTGTGAAACGTGACCCCGCAGGACATTAGCACGCGCTTTTGTATTGGGTTGGGTAGTCGAGTGGTAAAAGCGTTCGCTTGTCAAGCCCAAGACCCGGGTCCGATTCCTCACATGGGTTCAATGTGTGAAGCCCATTTCTGGAGTCCCCCGCCGTGATATTGCCGGAATATTGCTAAAAGCGGCGTGAAGCAATACTCACTCACTCAAAACCAACCTGGCCCTGGTAGGCCAAAATGCCAGGTGTAGTAACAGATGGTCGTTACCTTGAAGAGGTCACAAGATATGGCAGCATACTCCTTGTAGTCCGTTTTCTGTATGAGCTGGACCAACACAGGGACATGGTCTTTGTCTGCAAAACCTGCAAACCAAATGCATTAAGTATAATCTTGTTTTGTTTGTTTGTCTTTTAACGCCCCACTCAGCTGTAATTCAGGAAGATATGTGTAAGTATGCTTGGAACAGACATGCTAGGGATTGAAAGTGCTTCCATTTCGACTCCGTGTGAGAATAGGCCCCAAGCAATCTATGCTGGTCCGCGTTCGAGGCGACTAAAGGATCGGCTGGCCAGGCTCGGTGACGTGATTGATTGCGTGTCATGGAAATCTGACAATACTCATAGTATCAATCACTTGTTCTCGAAAAATATAGACAATTTTATCTGAAGATGGAGTTAACGAAAACACACTGTAGAACATACTAGTACACAAAACTGAACACAAGCGAAACTGATATTGACATAATTGAAATTCACACATTAAGTAATCTAATACATTCTTCTTACCTTTCCGAGGAACTGTAAATGAAAATCTTGGGTTGCGAAGGCGTTCCCTCAGAGTTCGTCCCGGGCCCGCGGCTGCTTTACCCCGCCATTCCCCGAATATATTCAACACGTATCCTGTTAAACAAAGAAGCGAGTGAGAAGATTTAATAGCGCAGATTGAGTGTCGTGTATGAGAGGATATGTTGAAGGTGTTTACCACAACGGTGAAATCAGTAAGATTCTAACACACCAAGAATTATGGCGGGATTCAAGCCCTCGTTCATCAGACACTGGCCTGACTATCTAATGGACGCAACTAACCAATACAGACAAAATGCACATTTATACCGATCGCTAGGTATATAGAGTAGAAGAGACGTATCAATAATATATAAAGTGTCTGCCACGTGGTACGTATAAAGTATCTGACACGTGGTAGGTATAAAGCGTCTGCCACGTGGTACGTATACAGTATCTGACATGTGGTAGGTATAAAGTGTCTGCCACGTGGTACGTATAAAGTATCTGACACGTGGTAGGTATAAAGCGTCTGCCACGTGGTACGTATACAGTATCTGACATGTGGTACTATAAAGTGTCTGCCACATGGTACTATAAAGTGTCTGCCACATGGTACGTATAAAGTGTCTGCCACATGGTACATATAAAGCATCTGACACGTGGTACGCATAAAAATACAACTTCAACGTCAGAGAATATCAGTTATCGATTATGCTCTGAAACAGATTACACTAGGCGTAACAGGCAAAGTGGATGTGAAAATGACATGAATGGATCATTGGAAATCAGTGATGACACCAGGTGGTAGCGAAAAGGGTAAGCAGGTTCCGCCCTACCGGTGGCCTCGCCACTTACATTTGCATTTCATAAAAAAGTAAGCGTTTGTTGCCCGACGCCACACAACAACTCCTGCCAAGCGACGGCAACCTGTGGGAATCAGACACGTAGTACGTTGAAAGTGTCTGACATGTTCAGTTGTCACGCTGATTTTGTGCTGATATTTGCTGTACACACTGACGCTGTACCTACTCAGTGAATCAGGCTGTCCGTCCTTGTCAAAGTCCGGGAGCTGCGAACAAATCGTGACCCGGTAGAAATATTCAAGGAAATCTTCTAAACTCATCCAAAATTCCCCATCGTTCCGATTTGTTTTTATGCTTCCACCTTCCCTAAGGGTTTCCCATTCAGGATCTCTGAAACCAAACCACATTATTCAACACCAGTGCCGAACGTACCATTAGTTTCTCTAAAACAAACCCAAGTTGTTCAGCGTATTGTGTCAAACATATTAGTCTCTCGGAAACAAAAGCACGTTATTTAACATATATATTGTCAAACATACAATTAGTTTCTCAGAAACAAAACCACGTTATTTAGCATACAATGCCAAGCACACTTTTACTTTTTCAGAAACAAACCACATTATTTAGCATACACAGTGCCAAACACAGAATTAGGTTCTCAGAAACAAAACCACGTTATTTTACATACACAGTGCCAAACACAGAATTAGGTTCTCAGAAACAAAACCACGTTATTTTACATATACAGTGCCAAACACAGAACTAGGTTCTCAGAAACAAAACCACGTTATTTTACACACACAGTGCCAAACACAGAATTAGGTTCTCAGAAACAAAACCACGTTATTTTACATACACAGCGCCAAACACAGAATTAGGTTCTTAGAAACAAAACCACGTTATTTTTTCATACAGTGCCAAGCACACTTTTAGTTTTTCACAGACAAACCACGTTATTTGGCATATAGTGCCAAACAATTAGTTTGTTTTCCAACGTCTTGTGGTCGTATATGATAACAGTCTAGAGTTGTTCTCGTTAATATCTCGTTAAACTGGCTTCTTCAAATGGCGATGCCTTACTGACACAGATATATGCCTATGTCACATCAACACCAATGAGGGCAGGTATTTCATCATGAATCTTTATTGTTAGTCTTAATGTGAGGGATGTATTTTGAATATAATATCTAGAGAAAACTCTTTTTAACTTTGGTTGACATGCCAAAATTTGTTGATACCCTTTGTGCAGTATTCCAGCAATATGACGGCGTGGTATATTCAAGCAATATGACGGCGTGGTATATTCCAGCAATATGACGGCGGGGTATATTCCATCGATATGACGGCGTGGTATATTCCAGCAATATGACGGAGTGGTATATTCCAGCAATATGACGGCGTGGTATATTCCAGCAATATGACGGCATGGTATATTCAAGCAATATGACGGCGGGGTATATTCCATCGATATGACGGCGTGGTATATTCTAGCGATATGAGGGCGTGGTATATTCCAGCAATATGGCAGCGTGGTATATTCCAGCAATATGACGGCGTGGTATATTCCAGCAATATGACGGCGTGGTATATTCCAGCAATATGACGACGTGGTATATTCCATCGATATGACGGCGTGGTATATTCCAGCAATATGACGGAGTGGTATATTCCATCGATATGACGGCGTGGTATATTCCAGCAATATGACGACGGGGTATATTCCATCGATATGACGGCGTGATATATTCCAGCAATATGACGGCGTGGTATATTCCATCGATATGACGGCGTGGTATATTCCAGCAATATGGCTGCGTGGTATATTCCATCGATATGACGGCGTGGTATATTCCAGCAATACGGCTGCGTGGTATATTCCATCGATATGACGGCGTGGTATATTCCAGCAATATGGCTGCGTGGTATATTCCATCGATATGACGGCGTGGTATATTCCAGCAATATGACGGCGTGGTATATTCCATCGATATGACGGCGTGGTATATTCCAGCAATATGGCTGCGTGGAATATTCCATCGATATGACGGCGTGGTATATTCCAGCAATATGGCTGCGGGGTATATTCCATCCAGATGACGGCGTGGTATATTCCATCGATATGACGGCGTGGTATATTCCAGCAATATGGCAGCGTGGTATATTCCATCGATATGACGGCGTGGTATATTCCAGCAATATGACGGCGTGGTATATTCCAGCAATATGACGGCGTGGTATATTCCAGCAATATGAAGGCGGGGTATATTCCATCAATATGACGGCGTGGTATATTCCAGCAATATGACGGAGTGGTAAATTCCAGCAATATGACGGCGTGGTATATTCCAGCAATATGACGGCGTGGTATATTCCAGCAATATGACGGCATGGTAGCTTAGAGCCACTGTGCCGCAGCTCCGAGAGATTTACCAAGTTTCCATGTATGTGTCCCTTCAGCTAATTATTCATTTGTTCGTGTATTTTATTTTCATTAATTACTTAATTCTTGCTGCGAAGCCTCGCAATTCAATTGTAAATGTCACCATTTAAATATTTAGCTAAAATGAATAATGAGAATAACAAGTTTAAAAAAACATGATAATACTTACTGATCATTCCATTTTCCCGTCCATTCGTTGCTCCCGTGTGGATTTCGAATTCTTAACAGATATCCTTTTTCACCGTTTGCCCTCGTCACCTTAAACATTAGATCGAACATGTATAAAACACGTCTTTTTTAAATGAAAAAATTTACTCACAAACTTACAACAGACACGAAATCACAGTCATGTTTGGGCCTAATTCAGTATGCACCAAAACACTACCCTAATGCATATGGTGCAGGGATGATTGTGCATGAAGTGAAAGTTTGTTGTTTTCTCACTCAGTCTTAATCAACATGCTCAAACATTACACCAACACAAATGTGCATACGTGACTGTAAGTGAATATTGTATTACGGCGCAGTCAGCGATATTTCAGCTCGAACATAAATAACTATGCTCATATACATAACACTGACGCAAATGATTCACTTTTGATAAACGTTTTATATAGCAGTCAGCAATATTCCAGCAATACAACGACGACATATGAATAGTCGAATCTGCACCAGACAAACCAGTGATTGATAGCACGAGTAACGAACCATGCCGTCGGGGTTGAAGACGCAATGTCACACGTCATACTTTATGACCAACCAATCACCATGTCAGTCGGTTGTTACGACAAGATCACCTGGGACCGTGTGTTTGTGACCCAGTCTGAGCCTTAATCATCACAGGGATCACTAACGTAGTGATGCTGACACGTATACAGTTATGGCTACGTACCACGGAAGCGGCACTCAGGGAGTAGGAGTGGGGTCCCATCAATCCAAGAATACCATCGCCATCTTTCTGAAATAAAAACACAAACATTGTAATTTCGAAAGTGTGTCTCAAATTCAAAGTCACCTTTGCAAGCCCTTGTAAGTTTGATTTTTGTTTTTGTTAGTAGGTATGAGGCCTGTAACAGGATGCGTCACGCTATCATCATTATGTGATGCGTAAAGCACCCCTTGAAAACTCTTGGGAACTGTATTCCAGATGGACTTCATCCCTGGTCTGTTGGTAGAGCTTGCGCCCGGAGAGCGGAAGGTACGGGGTTCGAACACCGGCCGAGTCATACCAAAAGACGTTTAAAGATGGTACTTGTTGTTATCCTGCCTGGCGCTCGGCATTAAGGGCCAAAACAAGGACTGGTCGGCTCGGAGTCAGTATACTGTGTCTGAGTGGGGTATTCATGTTAAACTGCGGCATGGTATCTCAGTGAGCTAGCACTATAAATCGGCATCAGTCTGGACTAGTACAAGCAGCCACACAGACACACACGTGCATACACGTGGCTATATAGGTGCAATAATCTTGGACGCGACGTTTAAACCCCATTTCACCCCACCTGTTCCAGATGTCACACACCAGTAGAAGTACGGGGCCTTGATCGGGAGGTGGAATTTGGTTTAACGTCACTTTTAAGTGCTCTTTTATAGCGAGATTAGCCGCGTGCATGCGCGTATGTATGTGTGTGTGTGTGTGTGTGTGTGTGTTTGTGTGTGTGTGTGTGTGTGTGTGTGTGTGTGTGTGTGTGTGTGTGTGTGTGTGTGTGTGTGTGTGTGTGTGTGTGTGTTGCTGCGTGTTCTAATCCTGACTTATTGCGGTTTTATAGTGCCAGCCAACTGAGATTCATGTACTATGCTGCAGTTTAACATTGATACCCCACTCAGACACAATATACTGACTCCGAGCCGCCCAGACCCTGTTATACCCCTGATTTAATGCTGTGCGCAAGGCAGGGTAACAACAAGTGCCATCTTTGACTTCTTTGGGTATGGCCGACCTTACTTTACTAATGATATTGCATCGGGTTTCGTGGAAGACAGTACTGAGCGGTGGGTGAGCTGGTGAATGGTGTCTAAACCTGACGTCAGCACTATTCCAGCTAAATCACGGCAAACCTGTAAATAATGAATTCTTGAAAAGGCAAACTGGTGGTTGAGAGTATCAACAGCGATCCACGTCATCGGGGCAGCATGACATACAATTTGCCAAGTCACAGCACCTTAATACCAGAACCATTTCGACTGATAACAGACACAGTGTACTTGAGGCATGGCCTACTCTAGAATCCCCAACGCGACAGGTGTAGAATGGACTAACGTACCGACACTCCGCAAGTCAACAAAGCCCCATTGTTGAGTGCAGTCCTGATTCGGCTGAACAGCTCGGCAGGTGCAAGTCTTGAGTTGTTTCTCAGAAAGTCAATCCTCTCCGATATTCCCCCAGTCAGCAGCAGATAGGCATCACTGGAGAGACCACCTCTGACCAACGTGTAGGACCCGTGAAATCTGATAAGGCAATACAATTTATTGTAAAGTAAACAGGAGAATGTGCTGCTGTCTGACTGGTCGGAAACTTTATGGGATTCGTCTTTTTTCTGAGTATGAATACTTTTCTTGAAAAGCATCTTTTTTCTTCATCCCAAGTTTGCACAATATGCCATTCAGCTTGGCGAAATGGATACCACACTGATTGAAAAACATTATGAAGTTTGAATTTTTTTTATCTTAGTTTCAACACCACCCATATTCACGTTTAAATTGATTAGAAAAACAATTATATTCATGTTTAAGTTATTATTCTTCGTCTCATGGAAGATGTTCAGGATGATAGCTTAACATTTTTAGACATCTTTAGACCAGACAATCCAGTGATTGATATTGTGAGCAAACAATCCCGCCGTAGGGTTATGATGACACGCAAGTCACCTCGTCTGACCACCCGATCTCTTCAGTCGCCTCATACGACAAGCATAGATTGCTGGGGACCAGTTCCACCCCGGAATCCCCGCTTGAATAGTACCACAAAGAGCAAGACAGCAATTAATGTCATCAATAATTACACAGAGTCTGTTACGGTACCTTGCTAGGGCCTTCTCCATCAAGGGAACCCACATTTCGTTCCTATTTGTCCCCGATGCCGCGCCATACAGATGTCTCGTCCCGGCAATCACAGGAAGATAGTCGTCGATGTAGACGTCCCTCCACTCCCCGAAGTTCCAGAACCTGCAGTGACATATTCCATCTGTCTCGGGTGTGTACGAGGCGTCGTTGATAACCTTGAGTTGTCAATGTTCATGTTGGTTATTCTAACAGATAAATATTGACTTTTGCACACTTTGAAGTATATTAACAATTTGTATCACAATATCTTGTAACGGTAGTTATCGCCGGGTTCAAATGTACCCAGGAAGTTGCACGGTTGATACGCACAAATCATTTATCTCAACAGGGTAATCACTCTACCATCATTAATTGCTAGGTAAGCGTGTACGTCTCTACCAAGGTATCTAATTTCTTGTCATAGCCTTCAATTGACGATTCCAAATGAATCATTCAGCAATATTAGGATCTAATTTAATTTCGGTAACACGCCTGATTTGAACGTAAAACTGTTACATACCCGTTTGCAGAGATCTCGGTTGTCGGCAAGACCCGATAACATTGACAAAAACCAACAAGTTCCAAAAGACCTTTGTTGAATGTCCAGTCTGAAAGGGCCGTCGGCAAACAATACAGGATCAGGGACGATTTCCTGACAAAATAATGATTCTTCTGAAAATAGGCAAATACTACGTGTGAACCAGTTCCGTCTGCACATACATCAGCAGTGATTCAGCTGCCAAGTGTACATGTGGTAGGACGGTGAGGGTAAACACACGGTTATATACAGAGACAAAGATAGCACCATACAACATATGCAAATTTGAGCATATATTTCGTTATGACAATCATGTTTAATACATTCCAGCATACACTATACGCATGAAAGTTTCCAAGCTACTTCACAATTGTTTGGTCTGTCTCGGAAACTTAATCCCATATTAGACCCAACCTATTAATCACCAAACTGTTTGGTCTTCACAATATGGACAAGGTTATGAATTTAGACGTACGTGAAAAGTAGGTTTGCCATTTGAAAAAAAGTATGTAAATGTATGTTAAGGGTTGTACATGTCATATTTACACCAATCGCATAGGTTCGTAAATGTCATATTTACATCAATTCTAAAGACGTGATTTACAAGTTTTACAAGCAAGATAAGGTACACAGTACTTCCAGTGTCTGGACTTTCCGGCCACATTACACTGGCACCTCATGATGCAAATCAAATGCTGTATAAAACGAGGTTTAGCACAATTCACACATTCACCAACACGATTTGCTTCTCGAGCAATATTCCAGGAGCCACAGCTTTTCACGACTTTTGCGATATAGTCGAGCATGCTCTTTCTACGTATAGTTCAGAGTTCCAAAGTTGTTTGATCAAGGCCTTAGTAAACTTTCAAATAGACTTATGGTAGACTTGTGAAGGACAGTTCAAAATTGGAGGCATGATGTCCCGTGTGATTTCTTATTTTTACTTTATCACTCCAACTTCTAAATGCCACTCAAAGAAGTTATTTTTACTTGTATGTTAGGGGCCTGTGTTTTGTCATATAAACGTTGGCAGAGCAGTATATACTCACTTTTTCTCAAACACTATTTGATATTGATTTATAAACAAATGGTTCTGAGGTGAGGTGACATGGGGTTTGACGTCGCGTTCAAGATTATTGCACTTATATAGCGACGCGCATGCACGTGTGTGTTACCATCCCGCAGTTTAACATGAATACCTCACTCAGACACAATATACTGACTACGAGTAGCCAAGGCCGTGTTTTAGCCCCTAAATGCCGAGCGCCAGGTAGGGTAACAACAAGTACCATATTCTAACGTCTTTTAGTATGATGCGGCCGGGGATCAAATCCCGACCCTCCGCTCTCCGGATGGACGCTCTACCGCTAGACCACGGAGGAGACCATGATTCTGACATTGCCGAAATTGTACAATGGAGAATTCTAATGGCATGGATTTTGTCCTTGGTTTTAGAAGAATGCATCTTAGCTACTTCTTACCTGAGGTCTTTTCCATTCCACCTCCCTCCTGGACTCGTCAGTTATTGCAACGTCCAGTGGAAACTCTGGGTCCGTCCACATCTGACCAGTAGGGACCTCGGGTCTCTGCATCCCCTCATCCGGCACCTTAGTGCTTCTAAAGTCAACAGTGCGCTGTTTCAGACCAAGACCCTGGGTGTTGTCATGGTATACGTCGGTGTAAGGTTCACTGTCGTCATCGATGTCGTTGATGTTGTTGAAATCCCTACTTTCTTTCGACGAACAGCAACCCATCGTTCACATGTGATCAGACTATAAAAAATGACACAAACAGAAATACGGTAAAAATAATTTATCTCTATCTTTTTATCGTGACTGAGCGAGTAAATATTTCCATAATCAAACAGATCCATTTTGCAGCCCTTCTCGGCAAAATAATTGTAAATGTATTTTTTTTTTTTTTAAAGCAATCAGATTTATTTAAAAAATATACACATACATGTACACACTAACCATATGCATTCAATCGATAACAAAACCAAAAGATGTATGCACAAATAACCCCACTTAAGAATTACATCCAACCTTCCTCCAGAATTTGGCTTCACAGACACAAATGGACAGGGATCGAGTCTGTGTTGAATGTATGCCCCTCAGGACAGCAGGTGATTTATATCTGACTGCTGAACCTTTAATTGTTAAAAGCGAAAAAGACGGCCTCCGTGGTCTAGTGGTAGTGTGTCCGCCAGGAGAGCGGAATGTCCGGGGTTCGATCCCGGGCAACGTCATACCAAAAGACTTTCAAAGATGGTACTTGTTGTTACCGTGCCTGGCGCTCGGCATTAAGGAGCTAAATCAAGGACTGGTCAGCTCGGAGTCAGTATACTGTGTCTCAGCTAGTGGGGTATTCATGTTAAACTGTGGCACGGTTACTCAGTGGGATAGCACTATAAAATCGTCCGGACTAGTACAAGCAGCCACACACAGACACACAGACACACACATTCACATTGTTGACATTTAAGGTTGAAAAGGAGTCGCTTCAAGGTGCGTCAGTTTAAATCCTGCGCGTTAGTCATTTGTATTGTCCTTATAAAATATATTCGAACTTCCCGCGTCTTATGAATACGTATGAGTCGTCTCAAAGGGCCGTGTTCTATGTGTGCCCAGTTGTGTGACAAAACATACAAAAAGTGTTCCACCCGCATCAATTTCCAACCGCTCTCCTCACTTTCAATATTTGTATGCAGCCTAACGCTAAGTTAAATCTTAACAAAATGGGGCGGTGATTACCAAGAGGACAAAGGATGGCTTTAGACAGCTGCCCCAATCATAACACAAGCACTATATGAAAGAATGCATTCAACGGCTGTCCCATCCATAACGCAAGCACTATATGAAAGAATGCATTCAACGGCTGTCCCATCCATAGCACAAACATTATATGAAGGAACGAATTTTAAAAACCTGTCCTAACCTCAATACAAGTGAAAGAACAAATGCATAAGACAACTGCCCCAACCATAACACAGCCACTGTATGAAGGAATGCACCACACAAAAGTGTTGTAAGAACAAACGAATTCGGCGGTTGCTTATCTTCGCCATTGATCATTGTCATGCACGATCCATGTGAACGTTTCCAAAATATATCTTAGATTTCAATCCTATTCGACCATACGATAAAACCGGCTCACTAGCATCACTGTTTACCTTCAGTAGTGTAAAGCTATCTCCACATCTGTCCACATCTACCGGTACGCTGAATGGCTACCCACGTGCAGTTTCTGCGTGATTACAAAGTCGGATTTTGGAATTTCTTTCCTATATCCTGTGCACTGTCATTGACACGCTTCCCGCTTCAGTGAACGTGCCCGCGGCTGTACGGGATAACAACAAAGTAAGGCGGTTAACTATACAGGACTGGGGCTATTCAGCAAAGCTTTCCTTTATTATCTATTCATGCAGGGGGATTCAGCTGGCGTGTTGGAAACTCTACACACATGTCATGCTGACCTAATCTGACAATTCATGTAAGGGCAGAGTGTAAGTCTATTAGAGGTATGACTTCCCGGGAACATCTCTGCATGTATGAAATAGAGCGCCATATAGAACCAGCGTAGCATGAATTCAAATGTGCACTATTTATAGTATTCATAAGACATGCATGGCAGGCATATTGACGAGTATGAGATGTTCTATTCAATAAAGAATAGGCGTGTGTGTATACAGTACTAAACGGTCTCATTCGGGTCTCGATAAATCGAGCAGTAACGAACTAGACAAAAAGTGATCAGGGCTCACTAATACCCTCGACTTCGACTCCAAAATATTTCTAAGTTCAAAACATGAAAAAGGCAAATTATATTTTCTCAGAAAATTAAATTATCAAAATCAAACTTTGCACTGCCCCTCTCCTTTTGGTATAGAAACTGTACTCCAATTGGAAAAAAAGTGTGTGTTTTCAAGTTATAGGTCGCCAAAAGTAAAATAGGGTCTAAGCAAAAGAATGAAAAAAGCTATGTTTTTTCAAAAAATCGAAATATTGAAATCAAACGTCGAACTTCACCTTTCCTATAGGTACAAAAAATGTTCACCAAGTTTGAAGAGAATCTAGGTAGTAGTTTTCAAGTAACAGGTCCCACACACAAAATGTCCTCGGACTGAAGGAAGGAACGACGGACGGAAGGATCTAAAACAACGCCCTAGGTTAGGGTACAAAAGGGAGATTATCATAATTATCATGTCGCAACCATGTGCTGGAGGATACGCTTGAAAGTTTCACGATTATCCTGACTTAACTACCGAAATATAATTATCATGACATAGTCTTATGCTAGACGACTGCATGAAGTTGTAAGATTACCCTGACGTAATTACCGAAGTATACTTATCGTGACACAGCCTTGTCCATACCTTGCGATCAAGTAAGTCACCGAGCCTACCCCTCCCAAAGCAGTCGCCCTCGAGTAAAAGCAATATATTGCTGGGACCTATTTATTCCTGCACGGCTGCACGGAACTTGAACCCCGAACAGGTCACGTTCATTGTTATTAACTCGACTCGAAAAGCGCTAGCAATATTCTCAACTGTGGCGCATCGCTTACTCTGTTGGAGCGGCGGGGTAGCCTGGTGTTTAAAGCGTAACTCACTCACTCACTCACTCACTCACTCACTCACTGACTGACTGACTGACTGACTGACTGACTGACTGACTGACTGACTGACTGACTCACCCGCCCACTCACTCACTCACTCACTCACTCCATGTTAAATGAACGAGTAGATGAGATAGTGACAAAGGTCCAGGTTATCGTGAGAATGCTACACGAACCTGTTTAGATACGAAGGTATGAACCAGATGTGTCACCTCAACCTTGTGGTAACGGATACGTTGCTTTCCCCCTGCGCACAGTTTAAATAATAATGTATACAGTGTGATTAGAGCAGGTTACCAAATGAAAATAGATAAGCCTGTAAGATAAAACATTTCTGACCTGAATTTATGTATCCATTCTTCTGCATGATGTTTGTGATTAACGACCTACATATGGCTATGGTAGGGCTATAGGAGCGTTAATGCTGCGGTGGCTGGCTGTAGCATAACTTGTGTACCGTGCACTGTATATCGACTAGTTGCTGAGTTACGGAATTGATTCATATAACATCTGTGTGTGTAATTATTGTTTGTTTTATTGTTTGACGCAGCTCTGACATATTCACATTATATGACGGCTCTCTATAAATATAGCCGTCAGAACTAGACAGTCCAGTGATTAATATTATCAGCAACGTCCAACGCCATCGGGGTTCTTTGTCACCATGTCGCCTTGTGACAAGAACATGTTGTTGAGGTTTTTTCTAATCTTGATTTTGTAACTTACCATAAGATGTAGTAACTGTAGCATCTTTAGTAGCAGTCCCACAACCAGAGTCATTTAAACATGGAATGCACTTAATGCAACAGCAGCAATAGTGAGTGGTTGAAAGGTATTTCTAATTTTAAAGCCACTTAGTCTTTCTGTTAGATCAAGAGTGATACTAGTATTTAAGTGGGAGGAAAGCCCAAATATTTCCTCTATATTTTCAATAAAGGTGTTCAAAACTTGAACGTAGATATGCATTCCAATTATGAAATAATATATTAATATACATTCAAAAGTCATTTTCCAAAGGAGGGTTCGAGCGCCATGATGCCACCAACCCAGTCCCCGAACATGACCACTCGATTCCATGTCGTTGCTTCCAGGCCAATGAACAAAACAGACGTGTTCAGAGGCTTATACTTCGTGCGACGACGTGTGGTAATAGGAGACAACCGACCATAAATATTAATGAACATTATCGATCATTATAAACTGAATGAGGTATATTTATATGCATTTTGTATATGCCATGTAGAATTGACACCACGCACAACGCACACCTGCTGCCCGAGATTACAAATACCTATGATTATCCTGTCATCGGTCAACAACAATGAATAAATGCATAATGACTGGCTCCGATACATTCGGATCAGATCATAATAGGATTCGGGAAATACGGGAGCGCGTTCAGGCTGTGCAAACATGCATGGTGTTAGTTTCCAATAGTGAGTCAACATTTAGCGCCACATCGACATGCTACAGAGATATACCGACGAGAATATATGTTTTTTTCCTGATACGTCCTTCAGAATGCCAACGGCCATCCAAACAATAATTGAATAACATCACATTAATGTCCCCGACACTGCAGCAAGTGAGTTAACGGTTTAAATCCACCCTTTATGTCAGTGTCACGTGTTACCTTATCGTTGATGACAGATCGAAGAAGACGTTTCACCACTTAGTGAAACCGATAGCACAGTTGTGGCCCTGATGATACCCACGACCTCTGTGGCCCCGTCACATCGTGGTCACGGTACAGACTGTAGGACATCCATGTAAACGCAATCTGTTGTACCATATGATGAGGGAGCAATATGTGTCAGGACCGTCCTCGCTGTTAATGTGCTGGCGTGGATGAGTCAGGGTTATGCAGCCCAGCATCTGTTCCATTTAGAATAATACATATACTGCAATGCATAATAGATGTCATTACTCCAGACAGTTTGATGATGAAAGGGATGACTCCAATTTTCCAATCGTCATTTTCATGATCAGCCATTGTTCGTTTTCTCCTCAGAGTCGCGATTCCTGTACAGAGTTCTCTCTCTTATACGTGCCAGAAACCTATGATCTTAGGTTTGATTCCGGTTCTCCCTAATTGGATACAATCTCGCGAACATGAGAGGTAATATTTGTGATGTCCTCGAATAGGAACCCTGAGTCTCGAGACAAAAGCCGAAGTTCCAAGTAGGGTTATTGGTAGAACTATATTAATCGAGTGGGATTGTTTTGGCACATAGGAACGTGCTGAATGTAATAGATTGTGAAGACTCACGACATACCAAATGACATACATGCAGCAATAGAATATTCAATATATTGATGACATGGTTGGCGAGACACCCTCTTTTCCTTTGGGAGTATCGTTCACGTGTCAATACGTGGAGCTTTAGCACACTTAGGAGAGGTTTAATCTCAGAATAGCATTTGCTTTAACGATGAATGGTCGAGGGAGTGGTAATAATGATGGAAGCAGTCGTAAAATGTTTGCTTGAGCCCTACCAGGAGTGATGAGAAGAATCAAGGCGAGATAATGGTGTGATGGGGTTTACCGTTTATATGACAACGTGCGTGCGTACATATGTATATATCTACTAACAACTACAAATGTTGGTTATATAGTGCTTGCCCACTGAGACACCATACATGTTTAACATGAATACCCTACCCATTATCCCCCTTAATGGCGAGCGCGAATCGGGGTAAAAAGTACCATTATTATTTAAAAAAGATATTTTTTGATATTGATGAGCTGCGAATGTATGTTTTCCATTATTAAAAATGTTCTATGCTTGATCGGGGCGTATACACTGCTGTGGAAGCTGCATCAGTCAGCATCAGTACTGCTCTGGATGTATAGTGATATACCAAGGAGTCTGCCACACTCTCCCGGGGCCATATTGTTGTTGGTATACTTGTGAACGTGTTGGTATACTTGTGAACGTGTTGGTATACTTGTGAACGTGTTCGTATACTTGTGAACGTGTTGGTATACTTGTTAACGTGTCGGTATACTTGTGAACGTGTTGGTTTACTTGTTGAACGTGTTGGTATACTTGTGAACGTGTTGGTATACGTGTGAACGTGTTGGTATACTTGGGAACGTGTTGGTATACTTGTGAACGTGTTGGTATACTTATGAACGTGTTGGTATACTTGTGAACGTGTGAACGTGTTGGTATACTTGTGAACGTGTTGGTATACCTGTGAACGTGTGAACGTGTTGGTATACTTGTGAACGTGTTGGTATACTTGTGAACGTGTTGGTATACTTGTGAACGTGTTGGTATACTTCAGCGTACGTATATGTCTTCGAACACGGACAAATGCCGATTTCATAGTGCTAGCCCACTGAGAGACCATGCCGCAGTTTAACATAAATACCCCACACAAACACAGTATACTGACTCCGAGTCCTTGTTTAAGCCCCTTAATGCCGATCGCCGGGCAGGGTAACAAGTACCATCTTTTAACGTCTTTTGGTACGACGCGACCGGGGATCGAACTCCAACTTTTCGCTCACCGGACAGACGCTCTACCACGTGCCCACAGAGGCGGTCGTTTGTGTTTAGTCTCAGATGTTATGGACAAACATTCTGTTATAAGTACATGTGTATGAATTCGCTTCATTCATTGTCTTATGGTATGCTGTATTGTAACTATCTTGGAAACAAGGTTTTAACCAATTGTCAGTCGAATCAAGTTTGAATCAGGTCACGCAACCAACACTGAATTAACTCTCCGTTCAGTTTTCCTTATCTAACCACCTAGTGGAAGTTACTTTGTAATGCGTGAATGAATGTCTTTTACCGTCTCAACAAGCGAAATTACAGTTAAAGATGCATCAAGATTGTATTTATATACTGAGCCGCAAAGGAAACGTCACCATGGGTAGATATATGAGAAATCCTATTTGTCCAAACACTGTAAACATACTTTGAGACATGTTAAAAAGATGAAACTTGGCAAAACTGATCACCAAGGTTGAAATTAAAGTGTCAAATGTTCTGAAAGTGAAACACAACACTAGTCTCTGAGAAAATGGCATCACAAGTCAGTATCTCTTGTGTCTGCCATGTGCACTGATGACTGCCGTGCAACGTCGATACATGGGATAGATGAGGCGGTTGATGAAGGCCATAGGCACTTGAGCCCACACTCTGAGGAACGCCTGACGTAGTTCAGCTGTAGTTGTCGGCCTTGGTCGGACGTCATTCACCCCTCTTTAAATCTTGTCCCACAGGCGCTCAATGGGATTTAAATCGGGACTGAGGGCAGGCCACTGCATGGTTCTGATGCTATTCTGCTGGAGGAAGTCTCTTGTTGCTCTCGCAGTGTGGGCACGGGCGTTATCATGCTGAAAATCGTGGTTGCGGCACCGTTGCCTCTCCCTGGACTGATGTTCTGGAAGACCACAGGGCCGACCCTCTGTGCAAAACCAATTCCACCCCACACTATGATGCTCAGACAACCCCACGAGTCTCTCTCAACAGCACAAGCATCCGAATAACGTTCCCCACGGCGTCGCCAGACTCTGTCTCTGTCATCTGCTGTTGAAATACAGTAACGGCTCTCATCTGAGAAGAGGATTCTTCTCCACTGCTGGTGGCGCCAATGCTGGTGCTGTGTTGCCCACCGAAGACGACCCCGGCGATGACGTGGTGTCAGAATGGGCCTTCGGTGTGGCCTGTGACAGTCAATCGTCGACGCGCGGTGTCCGCAATTATGTGTCGCTGGTGTGTCCCCATGGTCTGTCGAGCAGTTTCAGCAGCAGTAACAAAGCGATCTTGAAGATGCTGTCGAACAATCTGAGGATCCTGACGTTGGGTGGTGAACCTTGGTCTTCCACTACATGGTCGGTTTTCTGTAGTGTTGGTGGTC